AGAGAGAGAGAGAGAGAGAGAGAGAGAGAGAGAGAGTGAGCAAGATCTGAGTAGACGCGTCCTGGCAACGTTCGCTCGGGAGGGCATCGTTGGAAGAGAGTCTAGACATTAGTCTTGAATTATTCGTATTCATTCCATTAAGATTAATAGGTTCTATCACAGTATGAGCTTACGATGGGATATCTCACCCGAGGTATAGATAATATCATATCCTTGTAATTAAGGAAAATCATTGGATTAAAAAGTAGTGCGAGATGAACCCATCTCGGGGTCTGCAAGTTATCCCGAGGATTTATCTCGGTGGCTATCTTGGGAGATATCTCATACATAGTATGCGAGAATTTTCTTTCTTTTAGTTTTACTGCGTTTCCGTCGACAATCTACGAGAAAAACGTTAATGTTAGGACTAAGGTTAAGAGAGAGGGCACAATGGTCACCGCCCGAGACACCACCCAAGCCACCGCTCGCACAACCGCCGGGCTCACCGTCCAAGGGTCACCTTGACACTGACCTTGATCTCCTGCACGTTCACTGCGTCCGGCTGCACGGCCAGCACGACGGGATTGTTCGACGACTGCGTCATGCAGTACACCAACCCCGGGTGACCGGCGATCTCCGCCCACTGACACAGCGGCTGCGAGTTCAGCTTCCCGCCGCCCCCGCCGTTCCCCCCGCCGCCGGTCTTGTAGCAGATGGGGAAGAGCTTGGTGAGGCGGGTGAGCTCGGCGAGACTCGTTGTGTTGACCGGCGCGACGAATGTCTTTCCCTGAGCATAGCTGAAGAAGAGCAGCTGTAGGGCGTGCGAGTAGTAGACGGAGACGCCACCGCCGGCCACCTGCCCGCCACTGTGCTGCTCTTCTTCTCCTTCCCTCTCCCTCTCCTTCTCCTCAAGGTTAATCACCGGGATCTCTCCCTCTCTTTCTCTGTAGGTCAACCACCAGGATCTGAAGGTGTAGGGCGTGTGAGTAGTAGACGGAGATGCCGCCGCCGGCCACCTGCCCACCACTGTCCTTCAGATCCTGGTGGTTGACCTTGATTAATAGAAATAGAGAGAATAATGGATGAAACACATGGTAGTTGTGTGGCGAGAGGGGTAGCGTGACTCTACGGACCTACGTTTTTCGCAAAATAACATCGCATAATCATTGAAATCGGGAGCAACGCAATCTGAAGTTCAGGCATAAAAATATTTTAGCATACAATCAAAGGTTATAAACCATCGGTTTAGCAATGCAATTAGGAAGTCTGGTAAAAAACATTTCAGCAACGCATTTTCGGAGTTCGGGTAAAAATCAATTTTAGCAATGTAATCGGGAGTTCGGGTAAAAAACATCATTTCAGCAATGCCATCAGAAGTTTGGGTACAAAAATATATTCGAACATACAATCGAAAGTTATAATAAATATTTTAGCGACGTGAGCCGTTGCAGCGTATCCTATACTACACCATACCGGACATACCTACTACACCATACTACACCATACACCTACTACACCATAGCCGGACGCGACAAGCCACCAGTCACTGCACCGCCGCACGCGCACACCGTAACAATGGCGACGGTTACCTCGATGACGTTCGTCACGTAGAAGGGCCCGTGCACGGCGCGGCTGTAGTCCTGCATGAACTGCGCGTAGAGGTGCCCCGACGACGACATCGCCAGCATCGCTCGCTGATCGTCGCTGAACACGAAGCAGCAGTCGCGCAGCCGCCCGCTCGGCAGCAGGAAGTAGTACTGCGGGCTGAGCGCGTCCGCCGCGAGGTCGTACACCTTCACAAAGTCCGCGGTGACGATCGCGAGCTCCGTCTGCGAGCCGGGAAGCCAGAGCGCCTGCAGCAAGGGAGAGAGAGAGAGAGAGAGTCAGAGAGAGAGGAGGAGAGAGAGAGAGAGAGAGAGAGAG